TATAGGCTACTGAACTAAACATTTTGAAAGCTTGAACACTGTCTTGGTCTCTTTAGTCCCAGGTTCAAGGTGCCCCTCTGACAAAACAACTGGCCCCAGCCTGGCCCCCTCAGTAAAATCGGTCTAGAACTGCCACTATGTGGGACCCCTGATAGTAACATTTAAAACTGGGGGAAAAAAGAATTTTGATAGTTAAGAGCCATCCCTTTACTTTTTCCACTTTTTCTAAATCAGACTGAACTGATATTTAAACCCTCTAATCTTACAAGACAGCACTTGGGTCAAACGGACATGTAATAACTTCCTGAAAATAAAATTTGTTGCAAGACTCCCAAGGGCAAAATATTTTCAACTGAATAGAAAAAAGAAAATGTTTAATCATCAAAAATAACCACACGTTACAACAATTTAAAATGCCTCAGGTTCACAGACACAAGAAAACAAAGACAATTTTGAAATGAATCATTCTGTAATAACAATTTGAACAAAATAAAACAAGTACTTTTCTGAGTTTGTCAAGATGGCATCAGAAATGAAACATGTTACTGTTCTGGATTGTTTAAAAGTATTAAGAGTCCAAAATAACATGAAAACACATGGTTCTACAGGAAAACAGTGGCGTCTCTGCAAACTCTCTCAACTAATAAAGGTGCTGCACATGTGGGGAAAAATTTGATTGTGCTGCTGAACTATGTTTACCTTATTACACAATTATACTTGCTTCAGGTTGGTTCACCAAAATTAAAAATCTTTTTCTCATTTTCCAAAATGTCTTCATGCACATAGATTTGGTATTATTTATCCAAATCTTAAGGTTTCTGTCTCTCAGATTTTTGCCCTCATACCATTATTAATGACAGTTAATGCAATCTAGTAACATCTTAACTGACAGTTTTCATACTAATTCATTTCAAGACTCTTTCCTTTGTGTGCATTATACAAAGTAACACAGACTCTGCAAAATTAAAATCAATTCAAAGCATAAGCTAAATTCTGAGGAGACTGAATCATCATTATAGAAAGCAAACCTGTTCCTAAAACAAGTGAGTTATCTTCTTCTTATTGACAGTGTTATTTATGTGTCTGTCCTTCAATGAATTTGTCAAGCCCAGAGCAGCAGTGTAGTTCCCTGAGATTGAGCTACTGATGGCTGGAGTCCATATAAACAGTAAGCAATCCAGATTATGTAGTTTTGTAGCTGCCCAACTGCTGCATCGTTAACATACAACCCTGGCCAAAATAAAAGGGGTCAACGTCCAGAAGATTTACAAAGTGGACTTTTAACTGAAGGCAAGGAAGTCCGAATTTTGGCAGCATTATTATCATACTTCACGTAAACTAAAATTCCTCTAGACAGTTTCATACTTGTCAAAACTGATGCACACATTTGTCAAATTTTTTTAAAACAGTTCAGTATTTTTGAGAAAGTCTTTTCGACAATTTCCAAGAAATAGATGAGATGATATACATGGATCTCTGGTCTGTGAGTTAAGTACATAGCTTGAGTCTGGACGTGTTTGGTCTAGCATGAGCACTGGTAACAGGGCGAAATGGTTAGCCTGGGGCACCAACTAAATCTCAACTCTTAGATTTATAATTAAGTAAGGAGCAAACTAATGAGATACATGAGCTTATTTGGTGTTGTTAATCGCATTTTTGTGTTGGACAATCACTCCTGCTGACTCCCCCTTGCCTTCAGTCTTCATGATAAGCTAGGCCAATCACAGACTCCAGCTTAGTATGTATGCTGCCTTCACATTGAACTTGAAAGCTTGTGGATACAATGTGGGAAGTCATGTACATAGTGCATTTGGCATTCAAGTGGTCTTGAGAACAAAGCTGCCAGGCAATAAAAACATGGATGCTCATAACTGTTAGTGTCTAGAGTCCACCGAGGCTGACAATTTAGCAAGCTGGCAGGCATGTAACAGTGCAGGAAATGTATGATATAATGACAGGTGAAAACTGTTGGAATATTAACATTTTCCTTCAACATATTATAAAATTCAGACAAAAGACTAAACAACAAACATTTCAAGACAAACTTTCCATTCCACAAAAAAATTACTTCTTGGCCTCTTCATTTCTGAAAATGTTCGCAAACAGATCACAACTCATGAACTCTGAGCTTTCAGAAAACTTGGTTACAATGTAAATACCACAAAAGGAGGGGGGGGCGTTCATATGAACTTTAAGCCACAACCCCATTTGAAGCCAGCATTAAAAGTCCAGTGTGTAAGATTTAGGTGAAAGGCAGAAATGTAAT